CAGGGAGCCCGATGCGGGACTCGATCCCGGGACTCCAGGATCATGACCTGAGCCGAAGGCAGTCGCTCAACCAACTGAACCACCCAGGCGCCCTCTCCTGTTCCTTTCTTGATAACTGTGTTACCTCCTTAAGTGCATTCAGTAGTTTAACTTAGCAGAAGTCTGAGCTAACCATTTTCTTGTTTTCCACTTCCTTAAATGAGACCCAGAGTCATCTAACTGGGAGCATTCCCTTTTGATGTTTGACATATTAACAATAGTTAGGATTGAGTTGAGAATTATTACTTATAGTTCTCTCTCTTTTTTTAAAAGATTTACTTAATTATTTGAGAGAGAGAGAGAGAGAGCGGTGTGGAGCGGCAGAGGGAGAAGGAGAGTCTTAAGCAGACACTGTGCTAAGCACGGAGCCCAACATGGGGCCCAATCCCACAACTGTGAGATCACGACCTGAGCCGAAACCAAGAGTCAGATACTTAACCAACTGCACCACCCAGGGACCCCAGTTCTCTTTTTGTTTGAATTTAGAATCTGCCTAATTTGCTTAGTACAAAATTGTATCTTTAATGTCTGTTATCTGTTAGCAGATTGTGAATAGTCTTCCTAACTCACGATCGTTGTATTTCAGAACATACTAAAGTGTACCTTCTAAATTAAAGTAGGTAGAAAACTTCTTTGTCAAGGATTTAATAAACTGGGAAGTGTGAAGAAGTACCTGTATAAAATCTAGACCGATGGTGTTGTACCCACAGTCTCTTTCATAGCAATAGTGTAGTACAAGAGTTGGTACACTATGGCCTGGGCACCAAATCTGGCCCGTAGCCTATTTTTATATATAAAGTTTTATTGGAACATAGCAATGCACATATTGTCTGTGGCTGCTTTCATGCCACAATGGCAGACGTGAATAGTTGCAACAGAGACCATATTCCCTGCAGGCCTCAAATATTTATCTGGCCCTTTACAGAAAAAGATTTTTGACCCCTGGTATAGTAAAAACCCTTGAACTGGGAGAGTAGTCAGAGGACCTCAATTCCATCTATGCTTGATTTTATCTCTTAAGTTGACAGCTTAACCTCTCCAGACCTCAGTTTACTCACATGCAAAAGGAGACTCTTAGAATGAATCATCCCCTAAGGTTATAATTCTATAAATCGATAAACTGTTTTGGAACCATCTTGCTGTTTTACATAATAGCTTTGCATTGAATATTCGAACCACATGCAGTCACTGAGTTTAGAGAACTAAATAAAGAAAACTGCTAACCATAAGACAGATAAATTAGGAACTTGCTACTATTGTTTTAAAAGAATTTACCTCTCTTAAGGCTCTTTTAAATAGTGCTTTCCTGGCATACGTATTTCTAGATCTTGATCGCAATAGTAGCTAGAACAGGCCCTGAAACATAAACTCAACATATTAAGAAACTCAGTTGAACTTCATTTGGAAAGAAAAATAAAGCAGCTCTAAAATTTAGTTTCAGTGTGTGGGAAAGTTTTGATATATAAAAATTCCATTCCCACCCAGCTTTTAGGGAACGTGTATGTATGTGAAATGAAATAAGCTTCTACTATAGAAAGAAGAACTCAATATTTAGTGCTGTTTTTTTCATCATGGTAGCTGACTATAAGATTCCACGTAAGGACCTCTCATGCATTAACCCTAGACTTTCAGAAATCTAAAAAGTTGGGGCACCTGGCTGGCTCAGTAGAAGAACATGTGACTCTCGATCTCAGGGTTGTGAGTTCAAGTCCCATGTTGGGTGTAGAGATGACTTAAAAATAAAATCTTTAAAAAAAACTAAAAAGTTGATACCTGGAATGGTATCACCAAGATCATGTCTCTGTTTTTTTGCCTTTCCCTTTCTGCATTCAATTCAGTTCATTTCAATGTATATTTGTGGAAAGAAACCCTAACATGCCCCCCCAAAAAATGAACTCTGTGGAAACATGTTTCTATTAATGTTTTCATATATGTAATAAATGCCTACACACATAAAAAATTTATCTTTCTCCCCCCCCCCCCATCTCCCTCTCTCTTTCTAAAAAAAAGGTGGGGGATACCACCTGGGTGACTCAGTTAAGTCTCCGACTCTTGATTTAGGCTCAGGTCATGATTTCAGGGTTGTGAGATTGAGCCCCATGTTAGGCTCCATGCTGGGCATGGAGCCTGCTTAAGATTTTCTCTGCCCCCTCCCTCTCTTAAAAAAAATTTTTTTTTCTTTCTTTTCAGAAAAATCTGTGAGTTCAATATTTAAAATTTAGACTTAGACTACGTAAGTGATTCGATACTTAAACTACCTAAATGAACAATTCTACTTAGACCAGCAAAGGCTGTGCTCATGTTCTAGCTATATATATGTATTTTTTTTTTTTAAAGATTTTATTATTTGACAGAGAGAGAGATAGCGAGAGCAGGAACACAAGCAGGGGGAGTGGGAGAGGGAGAAGCAGGCTTCCCGCCGAGCAGGGAGCCCAATGTGGGACTCGATCCCAGGACCCTGGGATCATGACCTGAGCCGAAGGCAGACGCTCAACGACTGAGCCACCCAGGCGCCCCTAGCTATATATTAGTAAGCCTAGTGATGGTTTACACTTACAAAATGGCTTACAGTTCACAAAGCATTTTCATATACATTATGACTTTTGATGATCCTGTAAGGTATGTCAGTTTTAATGTTTTCACATTATAGCTGAGAAAGATCTCAAGAGGTTAAATGATCAACTCAAGTAGTATCAGGCAGCTGGAAAATGGCAGAGCCAAGGAACATACCCAGATATTCTGACCCACGCCTAACTGACTCGCAGAATTGAACACTTTCACAAAATAACTTTTATTGCTGTTCTTGTTACTGACACAGTTCCTCACATTTTTCCTTCTAGCAGTCCAAAGGGGTGTCATGCACTCAATATGACAGTAATTCTCAACTAGGAATCGGGGGAAAGCTATGTGTGCTGTTTAAAGAGTCCACCTGTAGTTGGTTCTGCTGTGCAGCCTGATTGAGAATTACTGTGCTAGAGTAGCAGATAGTCATTGTTAACAAAAAGAGAGGGGGGAAAAGATTTTAAAAACGAAAAATGACTCATTCCTACTTCCCAGAGAGAATGCTATTAGCATTTTGATATATGTTCAGTCTTTTATATCTGTATTAATCTTTTTTTTTCAAAAATGAGATACTATAGATTGTTTTAAAACCTTTTTTATGTAATTCACAAGCATCTTTCTGGGGTTTTTTTTGTTTTTGTTTTTTTTAAAGATTTTATTCATTTATTTGCGAGAGAGAATGAGAGACAGAGAGCATGAGAGGGAGGAGGGTCAGAGGGAGAAGCAGACTCCCCGCCGAGCAGGGAGCCCGATGCGGGACTCGATCCCGGGACTCCAGGATCATGACCTGAGCCGAAGGCAGTCGCTTAACCGACTGAGCCACCCAGGCGCCCCTTTCTGGTTTTTTTTTTAAATGTTTTATTTATTCATGAGAGTCAGAGAGAGAGAGAGAGAGAGGCAGAGGGAGAAGCAGGCTCCCCGCCTAGCAGGGAGCCCGATGCGGGACTCGATCCCAGGACCCTGGGATCGTGACCTGAGCCTAAGGCAGTCACTTAACCAACTGAGCCATCCAGGCGCCCAAGCATCTTTCTGTTTTATTAAACATCCGTCAGCATCATTTCATATTGACTGCAGAATATTCCATTTTGTGGTACATGTTGAGTTCGAGATGAAAATGGTTTCACGTACTTTCCCAGTCCCCAACAGTGTTCTCCTCGTATATGCATATGTGATTAATTTGAAGGAATCCAAAATCATTTAAAAGCTACCCCTCTTCTAGCTGTCATCTCCTATAGGTTTGACTTTCTGAATACTCCTTAAGTTTGTTGAACTTTTTTGTATTTATGTATTTGTTTTCATTTTTTTCATCTTTCTGTTTTAGGGTGCGGTACTAGCAGCTGTGTCAAGTCACAAATTCAACTCATTCTACGGGGATCCTCCTGAAGAGTTGCCAGATTTTTCTGAAGACCCTACCTCCTCAGGTAATTGGACTGTTTATTCATTCACCAGCGTGAATCATTTGGTGTCTCATCCTTTCTCTTCCATTCCTTTCCTATGAATCTAGTCAGATCCCCCAAGGAATTCTAGGGAAGTTTGTCAGCAACCAAATCCCATCCACGTGTGTCTAGTTCCTTTTAATTTTACTACTGAAGTTGCTTTCCCCTGCTGTTCCAAAACCAACATTTTACTTTTTTCTTTTTACTTCAGAAATTCTTCTTTCCCTTTCCCCACTCCAGACCTGACATTGCACTTCATCCAATCCAACGTTGTGGTCAGTCTTTTTGGATCTTTAGATCTTTAGATCTGAGTACCTTATACCCCAACAAAAAAAATTCCCCATGTCAACCGTAGGAGATCAGACTTTGGGACAACCCTGCTTTTAATTTTATCTTTCAATGTAAACTGTCTTGTGACTTATCTCTCGATACAATTTACAAGTTCTTCTCTTTTTATAAAGTCTGTAACACATATATACAAGCATTCAGGGGAGAAGAACACAGAAGAAGAGTTACCTATTTGGCTGAAATGTATATAGGTACTCCTGGGGGGAAGAAAAGCCACCAATGTTCACAAAATTATTTTATAAAACACTCAGATTTCCATTTTATTAGTGAGGTATTCTCAAGGATCATTTGTTAAAAATCCACAGTATCCATTTATATGTTTATGTAAATGCATGCATATGTCTGTTATACTCTTTAAATTTCACTGATGTACGTACGTATTTACGTCTGAATCATATGTCCTCTGCCCTCAGCTTTTCTTCCTTCTGACATTAGAGTCACTCAGTATTTGCCATGTGGTTGACTTTGGGCTGTTGGTTTGATTTTTGTACTTTTGGGGCTGCCCATTCAGTATTCATGTATTACCATTGGGACTCAAGGCCAAGGGCCCTTCCTAAAGCATGAGTTGTGTGTCTTTCACTATTAGCAATCCAGGAAGAATGGATGTGCTAATGCTTCTCTCCTGTTGGAACTGTGAGCATTTGTCAGTGTTTATGCTTCTTCCTTCTCTCTGTTTATACACGTATGTGCACAAACCTTCACATACACAGTTTCTTACCAATTGGTATGTGCTTATTACACCTTGTGGAAAAGAACAGGATCAAGTTTCCCATTCCAGTAGCTGTGTAGTTCCTCATTTTGACCTTTACCAATTGGGATGTGAATCTTCCTCTTTTGAGTAAAGGTGATTTCCAAAAACAATCAGAAATGGGAATCTTAGAAAAGAGACTCTATGAAGAGAAGGTCTTGCTGGTTTCCTCTTGCACTGACTTTGTGATTATCCAGAGCCCTTACCACGTGAAAGGCAAGGCTGTAGTTGTGTTTCTAGGTGTGTCCCCCATGCTCCCTGTTGTTTCATGTCTGTCTTTTTCTCTCCCAGTCCATTTTGTTCCCTCCACCTGTAGCCTTTGAGTTGGTGTTAGCTCATACCTCTCCTCTCCTCACACTCGGTTTACAGTAGACCCATCTGGGGGGGGTGGATCCAGAAATGGTTTTATGTCATACTGTGACTACCTGATATAGTCACAAATTTGGAATAGATTGAAAGATTGTAGGTCAACATCTAATACCATTTTCATCTTTAGAATCGGGACTGGAGAGCCGTGTGGTCCTTGCAATAGCTTCACAGACCTAATCTTTAGTGTTAACCCCTTAATATGTACTTCTGCCTAGCAAGAGTTAAGTGAGCTCTTAAGTGTCCCTTTCTGTTAAAGAATTGGATTTTTCTTTTAGGGAAAGGAATTGTCTATAGTTATAAACATGCTTATTTTCTGTTAAATACATTTTTATCACCCAGTTTTTTTGTTTTTCAGTACAATCTGTAAATGATATGGTTGAAATAGTTTCTGATTGCAGCATTTGCTTTTTAAACAAAAAAGAAATTTCCCACATTGTCTTGCGGGTAGCCTGCAAGCTCTCGAATTAGTTGTTCACAGTTTCACATTCCCTCTTGCTTCCCTTTCCTGCAGTCACACCTTCTTTTTCCGAAATTTCTGGATCTTAATGATCTTGTAAGCAGTCTGTATCTTCATTTGACATGCAAACAGCTGTCTCTATTTTTAAATAGCAGGATGCTACGAATAAAAGACAAAAGAATCATTATGCAGTGTATGTGTCTGATCACCTCCCCTAAATGAAAAGGAAATTTTTTATGTATTCAGAAGTCAAAGACAAAGGAACATTTTGAAGAAAATTCTAATACTTTCGTAACTTTCTCACAGCTACCAAGAATTATTCATATGTTCCTAAGATTAATTTTTAATACTAAGCCATTAAAGGGAGGCACTGTACTATTTTATCAGCACCATTTATGAAATTGGTCTCTACCAGCAAACTTCCTTTTCTGCAACCAACAGTAATGGTTGTATGCTTGGTTGCAGAAAGCCTATTATATATTTTGTCTGGACTCACATAAGAGCTTTACACTTTCATAAAGTATTTTCATTTTCATTTCATTTTTTTAATGTTTTCATTTCAAGCCTCAATTCTTGTCAATGTAATTCTAATCCTTAAATTCCTCATCATTTATTTTAAGTTCCGACATTAACCTTTCTGCTATCTTTCTGTTTAAATCTGCATGGGTTTGTTTTACAATACAAAACAAAGCACCTTCCAGCATTACCTGAAAGTTCTAGCAAGCCCGTGGGCAAAAAGAGAAAAATGGTCAGCAAGCTTGTGTTTGTTGGGTGGGGGTGAGGGGGCAGGGAAGGAGGGGTTAGAGAGAAAACAATGTAAGGTCACCAACTGCTGTTTCTTAAGAAGGACAGTCTGTTTTTCATCTTTAGATAATCCCTGTTCTAGTCTTTCTATGAAATAATGGTAAGTAGGTCATTTTCTTTAATGACTTTGCTTGACAAAATTAAAATCCTATTTTGGTCCCCCAAAATTCTATTTAAGATCACAATTTAAAAATGAATTTAAAAATAATACCTTTCCCGATCTGTCATCTAAAGAGTCTAACATGTTTAGGTATGCTGTTTACATTGTAAAACAATTTTTATGTAAGAGATTATTTTTTCTATTTTATCGAAATTAATCCGTTACATATTCATAGAATTTGTGGAGTTTAATCATATGATGAACAACAGTGTTCCTTTGTTACTTAACAATCCAAAGTAGAAATATTCCTTTCTCATATTTCAAATCAAAGAAGTCAGAATCCCAACCCAGTGTTTTAATGACTGAAATCCTTAACAGTCCCAGGGAATGTGCTCGTGGAACACAAGGATTCACTTTGGGCTCAGCTGGGGGACTGTGCTTCTTGTGGCTCATCTACTGGGCCCAACTGTAGCTTGATAACCTGCTTGCTCTAAAATCATACTGTTTGTTGTTTGTCCATATGCTGCCTTCCTCCTAGGACTTCTAGCAGCAGAAAGTAGGTATCCCTTTGTTTTCCTCTAAGCTTTATCTTTTATGCAAAAGTGTTTGGCTTTGCATGGTTCATAAGCAGCTTGACTTTCTCCTTGGCTGTTTGTGTTTAGATGTTTGATTATGAATTTTAACACTGCCTGACCATAAAATAAAAATGTGGCTGTATTGATTTCCTGAGGCACTGTCATACAAATAATACTAACTTCTCACTTTCATAAGAGGAAGATAGGCAGTGTTAAAATTTTAACTGCACTTAATATTATCTCACATCTGCATTTCAAGCACAAATACATTAATTTGGGAGAAAGGGTAACATTTTATTTTATAGTTCGCTTTCAAGAAAACTTTCAGGGTAAGTGAATTTTCCTTTGATTACATAATCTGTAAGTGGTTTTTATTACTCTCTATAACTAACTGAATTTTTAGTTAATTCAGTGGAATGAATTCCTGAATTCATGTGTCTCAGCAACTTTTACCATCAGAAAGATCATTTGTAAAGAATCATATAATGGCTAAATTTTAATTACAAAAGGACATGATTTGATTATGTGACGAGATTAAAGTAAAAAGTATGTAAAAAAAATTAGACACACAAATGAGTACAAGTAAAGCTAAGGCAATCTGAATAAGATGGGTGGATTGTATCAATGTCATTATTCTGAGTATGATATTATACTATAGTTCTGTAAAATGTTACCAATGAGGAAACCGAGCAAAGCATACAAGGGATCTCTGTATTATTTCTTACAACTGCATATGAATCTACAGTTATTTCAATAATTTCAATTAAGACAATAGAATAAATCTTTACCTCTACATTGTGTTTACTGGGGGGAAGTATATAAGAGACAATGATAAATTAGAAAATCTGGATGCTAATAATTGAATACATTGTCACATTCTCTTGCATTTGTTACTTGTAGCTCTAGTTGCAGCTGATTTAATATAAAAATCTCACAGTATGTTAATTATCTATTGCTGTGTATTGAATCCCTTCAAAGCAGGATTTATCCTCTCACACTTTCTGTGGGTCAGGAATCTGGGCATGGCTTAGCTGTGTGCCTCTGGCTTGAGATCTCTCATGAGACTACAGTCAAGCAGTCGTCCAGGGCTGCAGTCTCATCTGAAGGCCCAACTGTGGGCGATGGGGGGAGGAATCCTCTTCCAAACTCCCTGTCATGGTTGTTGATAGGCTTCAGTTCCTTACCGGCTATTGAGCCTCTCCATAGGGCTGCTCACAACACAGAAGTTTGTTTTCCCCAGCATGAATGATCAAAGACAAAGGGCACAAGTAAGAGTGCCCAAGACAAAAGCTACAGTCTTTATAACCTCATCTCGGAAGTGACATCCTCTCATTTCTGCCCTATTCTCTTCATTACAAGTGAGTTACTAAGTCCAGCCCACACTTCCAGGAAGGGATTTGATTATACAAGGGTGTGAATACCAGGAGGCAGGGATCGTGGGGGCCATCTTAGAGGCTGTCCACCACATACAAGTTAATGACAATTATAGTGTGAGACACTTCTTTGTAACTGCTTTTGTTTCTCCAGATTTAGCATGCCTCTCCTTTTTTTTTTTTTTTTTAAGTAGACCTATCCTGTCATTTGGAAATGAAAGCATCTTGGAGGTATCAAGTAGTGCTTTTCTTTAGTTGTAAAGTTTTATATGAATGGGCACTTAACCAGCAGAATGTTATTTAGAATACTTTGACAAATTTGTGCCCAATGATGCTGCTGTTTGAAAACAGACCATTTTAACAAGCATGACGACATTAGAATTATAGCATCTGTACTCTGATAGAATCCATTTGCAGAGTTCTTTTAACTAATACTAAATTTTGCTGTGTCTGCACGATATACAAAAAGAATCTAAAGGATTTATCACCATGTGTAAGTTTTCATAGCTTGAATTGGATACAGTGCAATGCTTAAGTCCAAAATACAGTGTCCATTACAGGATTCACTATTGCTTATAACTTGATTGTTAACCAGAATTTGCTTTGTATAGTGGGAATAAAAGCTGTTGTCCAGGGAGGGAAGGGAGGCATTTGACTGCAAAGGGACAAGAGGGAACTTTTTTGAAGAGATGAAAATGTACACTTAAATTGGTGAATTTCAACTTAATAAATTATACTTTAGTAAGCAGATTTTTTTAAAACACTGTTGTGCTTACAGGGTGGGGCTTTGACTGGGTGGGTGATAGGAATGTGTGTGTTGTGGATTCAGGGTTGTATAAATGGGATTGCTAATACAACAGGAAAGAGGCTATTGGTTAACTCTTCAGAAAAAGCTAGACTAGATGCAGATGCTGAATTTGCTCAGTGATACTGGGTTTTATAGCTATACATATAATTTTTAAATATACACGTACAAATTTTTGTTACTGAAATAGCTGCATATATGTGTATGCAGTTATCAGATGTATGTAGTATGTACATTTATCAAAATTCATTGAATGGTACACTTAAGAATTGTATATTTCACTCTGTGTATACTTTACCTGAGACAGAAAGAGAAGTATTAAAATCGATGCCAAAGTGTTTAGGGGTGCACTGTAGTAATGTTGACCACTCTGCTGCTCATTTTGAAACGAATGAAAAATAACATGAATTGATGTTCCCAGTTAAAGTGTATGATTATCAACCTAATTTTTAGATACAAACTTGCTTAACAAATGAATTGTGCAGAAATTAAAATAAAATACTATCCTGAAGGCAGGGCTTAGTTACTTTCTAATAAATTTATCATTGTGAAAGTTTGGACCAAGGCCTACAAAAATAAACCTTATATGGGAAATAAAATTGAGATTAAAGAGAAGATAGAAATTGGATATCCTCTCATTACCCAATGCAAATTATTCAGATGTGTTGCTGAGGGTGAAACATGGTTTCTGGAGGAGCCCATCTGTAGTAGAAGGACTCAGTGTTACAGACTTGACTTTGGGGATTTGCTCTTCTGCTCACTGCTGCGGCCCCAAGGTCATTTGACCTTGTGGAGCCTCCAGTTTACCAAGTATAAAAAAACTTGCCTACAGGATGGGATTATTGTGGAATCACATAAGGTAATGAGTATAAAAGCATTTTGGAAGTTAAAAACTGACATACAAATAAAAGTATCAAAATAATTTTATTATGACTTTAAGGAAAATGGGGCTGTGCAATAAGCTGTTTTCTGTGGTTAACTGTTACGTTATAATTCTTCAGAATTTACTCAGAAAAAAATCATTTTACTCAAACACATTTCATTGTGTCCTTTTGTACAAAGCCCCCTAACAAAGTGCAGCCTGGAATACAAAAGTGAATAAAATACCTACAGTCCTGCCCTTAAACAGATTGCCCTCTGAGGTGAACTCGTGTGCTATTTATTGATTGATTTTTTTCAAGGCAGTTACAACTTTATTCAAAGGCTTTATAGGGGAAAAAAAAAAACATCCTTTTCAGTTTTTGAGAAAAGTGAAGAGTTCTTTTGGCTATGACAGTATTAATCCACGAAATAAATACTAATAGCAGTTAAGAGCCTCTGTGTGTGCTGTGCTGTGTTAAGTCATGTTGTCTTCATTATTACTACTGCCTCGGTGTTTAAAACAAATAGCAATGGAAAAGAAGTGTCTATGTACATTTATATTTTATACTGAATGGAGAAATTATGGGACTTTTAGATCAGCTTAGTACTGAACTGCAGGTATCAATGATACATATATATCAGACAAAGAATGTTTTTCTGTCGTTCTGCTGGTCATACCCAAAGAAAGAAAGAACAGAACTAGAAGGGGGGGGGTCAATGGAAGGTGTTAAATGATCAAGGGTAAAGAAAGATTTTGAGGTTAGACCAAAACTATGTGTTTATTCAATGTAAAAGATAAAGGAGAAATGGAAGAAAGCTGTAATTTTCCTACCTAATTTCAGAAACTTAAAATTTGGGGCACTTTTCAGAAACTGAAACAGGTGGCTCAAGTACAGCTATGGAAATACTTCCTCTTATGATTGAAAACCCACAAAGTTAACCACATTTGGGTACAAGATAAGACTATAAATCAGTTCAGAAACCGTGACAAGCTCCAAGGAGGGTCAATAGACCCGTTGAGCTCATGGGTCTTGCTTCCTGGAAACACCGGATAACAGATGCCTCTGTGCTTTCCAGCAAAGCATTCACTGCGTCCTTTGGAGCAGATTAGACCACAGGTGGAGGTGTTGAATTCCTGCTCATCCACCTCCTCTCTAAGTTTGTCCCAGCTCCTCATTCGGCAGCCTATTTCTGCGACACTTTGTTTTTTCCTCTTGTATATCATTTACTTCAGGGTATAGGATGTCTGAGAGCCCCTTCCTCAAGGCCAGGGATCATACCTGTTTTCTCAGAAGCCCCTGCCTAGCACCTGGCAAAAAGCAGGAATGTTCAATAAAGATTTTGGTTATTGTCTGACCCGACAGGCGTCAGGTTCTTTTCTAACCTCCATATCCATGCATAAACCACATGTAGCTTCTTGTCACTCTTTCTCCCATGTTTCCTAGTACAGCCAACTCGTGTAGTAAGTCAGGCAGAGCATAGACTTCAGAGCCAGACACGCTGGGCCTGAGTCTTGGTTCTACCATTTCTAGCTGTGACCTTCTTTGAACCTTAGTTCCCTATCTAGAAAGGTCAGGTAACATATCTACCTTACTGCATTGTCCTGAGGATGTTCCTGGCACATAATAAACACTCGAGAACTGGGAGCCCCTGTTGTTATTATTATGTTTCTTTAGAACTTCATTAATTCAGTGCATACTTTGTGGGTGTTCTGAAATGAATCAAATATAGACATGCCATAAGGACCTCATAGCACAGAAGAGTGAACAAGTACACATGTAGGGTCACCTGTGGAGTATGCATGCTGGTGGGACAGGAATTGCGTGGAGCTCTGGGGATTCACAGATGAGCAAGTGGTACAGCCAGAATCGCTTCCCAGTGGTTAGACTTGCCATCTTGGTATTCACTAGGATACAAGGTTGTTTTATTTTCATCTTATAGTATTAATAAACTGCCACCTAGATTATGTATTCACATAAGCAATGCTGGTAGAGACCATAAAAACTAGGTAAGATTCCATTAAGATAATGAAAATGATAATTAGATTTTTGTAGTATCTTTTGAATTTTTTTAATGTACAAAAAAACATTTCGTTGGTATTTCTGTCATTGCAGTTTTAAGTCCAGAAGTTTAGAACTGGCTTTAGTGACTATAAACCTGGTATCATTTAACCCTGCTGTTGATGATGTGCTGGGGTCAGGGGTTCCATGGGACATTTGGAACTAATTTCTTCACATCATCTCTTGTTTTACAAGGCTTTCAGTAAGGGATGATGAGAGAGCTGGCTTTGAACTAATTTCCAGAGTTTTTTTCCCTACTCAGAACGATGTAAAAGTCACAAGAAGAACAGGTAGAAGGAAGTGGATTTGGTTAATACCTTTTCAGGAACAGCAAGGGAAATGAGGACTGATTTGTGCCTTGTACCTTTTTTTGTCCTACTTAATACCCACTTAATGTTTTCAGTGAAAGAATACCAAGAGCCTGGTAGGCATAATTACTCAAAACTTGAAAGTATCCACAGTCCTTTCAATAGATAAATGGTCAAACTTTGGTACATCCTTGCAATGGAATACTACCCAACAATAAAAAGGATTATGCCATGGATACCCACGACAACCTGGATGAATCTCTAGGGAGTTATGCTGGGTCAAAAAAGCCAATCACAAAAGATTACATACTGTATGGTTTCATTTATATAGCATCCTCGAAATGACAAAATTATAGAAATGGAGAACAGATTAGTAGTTGCCAAGGGTTAGGAGGGGAATAGGGTAGGAATAAATGAGGATAGTTATAGAAGGGCCAAATGAAGGATCCTTGTGGTGATGGAAATATTCTGTAGCTTGCCTGTGCCAATGTCAGTCTCCCAGTTGTGATGTTGTGTGAGTTTTGCAAGATGTTACTTTTGAGGGGAACTGGGTAAAGGGCACATGAGATCTCTCTGTATTATTTCTTACAACTTCATGTGAATCTACAATTATCTCAAAAAGTCAAATTTGTTTAAAAAAAAAAAAGCCACAGTAATTTCCACGTGGACAACCACTTGATTTGTAGCTTACACCCTGAATTGTTAACATAATGAAATCATACTGCAAAAAGCAGTTGCTTATATAGCAACGTTTTTTCTGTTGTAGAAAACTTGGAACATATGGACAAGAATAGAATGAAGTATAAATAGGAAAGTAAAGATCACTGCTGTTACGCTTTCGGTGTATTTCATTCTGTTTTTTTCCTGAGTTTGTATATGTATTTTTTTCAGTCATAATCGGGAATATACAGTTTATGTGGTTTTGCATTCTGCTTTCTTGAATTTTATATCATGAGGATTTCTCTATGTCTTTAAAATTTTTCAAAAGTAATTTCCATTTGGCTATATATTCCGTTATATAGATGTTCTGTATTTAATCATTTTCTAAGTATTTGCTATTTTCCCCCATTTTATATGATAAATATCCTCATACGTAAGTCTTTTTTGCATTTCCTAGTTTTTCCTTAAGGTAGGTTTTTGTAAATGGAATTACTGAATCAAAGTACAGGAGTGTTTTTAAGGCTCTTTGATACATGTTACCAGATTGCATTCTGGGAAAGTGATACTAATTTACATTCTCACCAATAAGTACATGTGATTGGATGAGGTCCAAGACCAAAAGTAATCAGAAACAGCATAGAGTTCCATAGAGAACAGAAAGATTCAAGATTTTTATCATTATCTAAAGCAGAATTTCTGAACCTCAGCACTACTGACAGTTTGGGCTGCATAATTCTTTCTTGTGAAAGGCTGTCGTGAGCATTGTAGGATGTTTAATAGCACCCCAGGCCTTACGCACTAGATGATAGTAGCACAAACTGTCCCCCCACCACCACCAGAGTTGTGACAACAGAAATGTCTCCAGACTGCCAGATGTCCGCCCTGGGGGGCAAAATCGCCACTGGTTGGAAACTATTGATCCAAGACTTACACGTGTAATGAGGCACTTACTATTAGAATTTCTCAAACACTAATGTTCTGAAGCCTAGCCTCTTAGGGTTCTTTCTCTGGAGTATGTATGTGCACGTTGTCTGCAGAGTCAAATAGGCTTATCATTTCTTTAAGGCCGTGTAAGTGACTTTGTTGCTCCCCAGTATATATCTTTCTCTACTAATACCTCTCTGGATTCCTGGTTATAAGAAGAAATTTAAAGAAAGTGATCACACTACCATTTCCTTTGCCCTACAAAAATGAGTTGCCCTAATATTTAATGTGGTATTTGGAAGTGTCAGTCAATACACTCAGCCTTTGTCTTTGTCTTTTGAATAAAAAGGGCCCAACAGATTGAGAACAACTTGATTCTCTTGACTTTGTTAAGGAAGGAGAAAGAATGCATTGGGATCTTTGCTAACTTAAGTTTGAGCCTTAAAAATCCTAAGAAGCTGGGGCTCCTGGGTGGTTCAGTCAGTTAAGCGTCCGACTTGATCACAGCTCAGGTCTTAAACTCAGGGTCTTGAGTTCAAGCCCCACATTGGGCTCCATGCTGTGCATGGAGCTTACTTTAAGGAAGAAAAAAATCCTAAGAAGCTTATTTTACTCAGCAGGAGCACCCATCCTTCAAAGGTTTTTCCCTCAAAGCTACAGCTGGCTTTACCTTCAGTTCTTGATGGGATACACTTGTACGACAGGCTCACCTGTGTTAGTTCTATAATATTTTAAAACATCATGGGGTCGTGGAAATGACACACTCTTCCTGACGTATAACTTGCTGCACCCAGATCTTCCAGTAGCTCAGTTATAGTTGACAGATTTCCTTAATTCAAGTAAGACCAGCTTCAGTGTACTCTGAAAAATGAGAAGCACACAAATACATTGCGACAAACAGAAACTCACTGAAAATACTCTATCCTTAAGCGATATGAAGTTCATTTAAGTCTATCCAGTAAAGACATGAACCTTTGAAGTTATGTTTGTTGGTCCATTGTTCTGAAATGCAAGATTGAGGCTACAAAGGTTAGTTTGACATTGACTTTCTGTACTGGCTGTTTCTTTTCTGTTTGTTCCCCTTAGGAGCAGTCTCACAGGTCCTGGACAGCCTGGAAGAAATTCACGCACTTACAGACTGCAGTGAAAAGGACTTAGATTTTCTACACAGTGTTTTCCAGGATCAGCATCTCCACACGCTACTAGATGTAAGTCTGTCTGGGGCTTTTTTATGACTTATTTATTTTTAGTGAATTGAATAGTGTACCTTTTTTACTTTACATGAATTTCCAGGTGTCCATCATAACAGTCCATTTTCAGTCTTAAGTCTGTGAGAAATGTGGGAAATCATCCATTATAGATTCATAATTGAAATAAAGTATATATAGTACAAAAGCAATGTGGTCTAGCAAGTCACTGTAAAAAGAATTTGTGTGTGTGTGTGTGTGTTTCTGTTAAAAGAATCCCTCTTCTCTAGAGAAACGCTCCTAAACAGATACAAAGATGCAGGGACATGAACATTAATCATAGAATGTGCGTAAGAGTGAACATAGGGCAACAGGGAAATAAACAATGGCATATACACTCCTAATAAGGAATATTAGGCAGCAGGTGAAAAGAATGAGATTGGGGGGTGGCGCCTGGGTGGCTCAGATGGTTAAGTGTCTGACTTTGGCCCAGGTCGTGATCTCAAGGTCCTGGGATGGAGCCTGTGACTCCTTGCTCAGCGGAGAGCCTGCTTCTCCCTCTGCCCCGGCCCCTCCCCACATTCGTACTATCTCTCTCTTTCTCTCTCTCTCTGTCAAATAGAGAAACAGCAAGAGAGGGAACACAAGCAGGGAGAGTGGGAGAGGGAGAAGCAGGCTTCCCGTGGAGCAGGGAGCCCGATGCGGGGCTCGATCCCAGGACCCTGGGATCATGACCTGAGCCAAAGGCAGACGCTTAATGGCTGAGCCACCCAGGTGCCCCTAAATAAATAAAATCTTTTAAAAAAAATAAAACACTGAACCTGAAGCATGAGTATAACAGAGAGAAAAGTAAATAAGATACTGTGCAGTGGACACATACATTTCATAGTTAACAAGGCTGGTTTTCATAGACTTTGTCTTCTTAAAACATAAGAATATGTTATCATTAAATATGACAGACTCCACTGATAGCAGATTGAGATACAAAGAAAAATCAGAAGCTGAGAGTTCATCTCTGCCTTTATTTCAGTCACATTTTAAGTAAGATACCTTTCTTAGGTAACTTGATTTCAGCAGTGAAAACTTTCTTAGTACATAGTAATCTGCTAGCACATGTTAGTCTTTTTACTAGAAAAACCTTTCCTTTATAAGAGAATGGTATTTTCTTTGGGGTGCCTAGAACTGTTTGGTGCTAACTCTGATTAATCCACCATAGGACACAAATTACACCAATGCAGTGTTCCCCAGAATGTGTTCTGCAGAACATTGCTCTGGGAGATGGTGATGGGTGTTGCCATGGAGGAGGAAGGGAGTAGATCTTAAATGTATTGGCTAAATTATGTATTCACTAAGTAAGTTAGGGAAATGCTACATTCGTTATCTTTTATACAGATTCACAGTGGATATTAGTATATTAACAGCTCTGAGACATCCCATAGCAAAGAAACCAGATTGACTTTAATAGCATTTCTCAAACTAATTTGGGCACAGAACTTTTATTCACAATCCTGTCCCGTTGTTGAGGACCAGTTTGGGAAACACTAAGCCAAGAGCATTGCATTACGTTTCAACTTCACACTAAGTGCAGTCGAAGGTAACCTACAGTTGCATCTTCCATAAATGCAGTCAAATCAAATTATCAGATTTTAAGAATTAGTTTGGCTTTTTTATATAGTGTCTGTATTAATGAGGCCTGACCAACTGCTGTAGCATGCAATCCTAAAATTTGAGGGGCTTAACAGAATAAAAGTTTATTTCTTGCTCACATCACAGTCCAGTGCAGGTAGATGATGGCGGGGGGAGGGTCTCTTCCACACAGTCCTTCAGGGATCAGGCCTCTTCCGCTGCATCGTTTGCACGCAGCAGCAGATGAACGAAAATGGAGAATTTTGCAGGCTCATAGTAGGAAATAGGCGATATCACTTTGCCCACATTCCAATGGCAAATACTAGTTACATGCCTACCTAGCTGCAAGAGAGCTGGGAAACATACTTTTAAAAATGTGCTAAGTAAAATAAGCCAGACAGGGAAATATAAATACTGCATGGTATCAAAGTCAGACTCCTAGAAACAGTAGAATGGTTGCCCTAGGCCGGGGGTCTGGGAAATGAGGAGAGGTTGGTAGAAGGGTACAGGCTTTCACTTCTATGATGAGTAAGGTCTGAGGGTCTAATATATAACATGGTGACTGTAGTTGATAATTCTGTATTGTATAATGAAAGAGAGAGTAGAACTTAAGTGTTCTCACGGGGCGCCGAGGTGGCTCAGCCTGTTGGGCGTCTGACTCTTGATTTCGGCTCAGGTCATGATCTCAAGGTCAGGAGATCAAGGCCCATGTCAGGTTCCACACTGGGAGTGGAGCCTCCTTAAGATTCTCTCTCCCTCCCTCTCTCTCTGCCCCTCCCCCACTACGTGTGCGCATGCACGCACACACACACTCTCAAAAAGGGGGGAACTTAAGTGTTCTTAGAAAAAAGAAGATAAATATGTAAGGTGAAGAATGTGTTAATTAACTTGATTGTGGAACCCTTTCACAGTGTACACATTTATCAAATCCTCACGTTGTATACTTTACATATATTACAATTATGTTTGTCAGTTGTCCTTCAATAAAGCTAACAAATGCATTCAGGAGGATAAGGAAATGGCTCTTCTCTTTAGTGTAATTTGTCTTAAGTAATTTGAGGACATTTTCAGATAAGTTTAATTTTAAGTAACTGTTACTTTCCTCAGGTACCAGAAAGCCTTTGAAATTCATTCTATTAACATTCCTTCCTCTTCTTTATTCATTGGCTTCTTTATCTATGTTGTCTATCATTGCTTCATAGGATACGGAAGGTTTTCGCAAATGTGAATTTCCCACACAAGTCCTATACTTTACTGGAACTAGCAAGTGGGATATTTGAAAGAAGCTGTAGCAGAGCATGGAGATTGGTTTATTTCAGTGTAGTCAGTGATTAGGTCATTGCTGGGATCTGCTGACCTTTTAGATGGACTTTTTGTCATTTTAAAGGCTCAGAGAAGCCCAAACTGGTTTTCAAGGTTACATTTTTCTGACAAGTGTAACAAGGTATCTGAGCCCACCCAGCTTGAGACTGAGGGGAAATGGAAGAACATCGCTAGCTTCTACAAGGAGGGGCAGGTACTCAGACACAGACTGGACGTTGGAACTGAGCCAGGCGGCCGCTTATTGCCCAATACTAAGCCCTTCAGACCTCACTGAAAACATGTGCTTTGAATAACTGCTGTGTTCTTGGGTCAACATTGTCACAACTTCAGAAGAGATTCCTAGGTGTTAGGAAAAACATGCTTAAAGTTCCTTTGGATTCTTATGAATGATAAACTTAAGAAAGTATCTACAGTGTCAGCATCTGCCCTATCAGTGCATCTCAGTTGGCGTGGACTGAGAAGGCTCTGTGCCCAGGAAAAAGATGCCATGTCTGCAGAATTTTGCAGACAAGTGCTACACGTGAACCCCAGAACCTCCCACCCCCAGAAATGACCGGACCATAAGGCTGTCCCCAGGCAGTGCTGGGTTCTAAAGATCCAAACTGACCCATCCTTCAGTGAAAAGCTTAATCATCATGAATGACCTAAGCCGTCATTGGAATGTGCTCTCGTAATCTAGAGCCCATGAATATGGTTCATTAAGCTCTTGTCTCAGAACTAACAGACTACATTTCAATAATATAATCAATGAAGTATTCAAGTAGCTGCCATATAGAAAAATCTAATGATTAAAACAATTTTTAATATTTTAAGTGCTTACGTAAAAAGGAACATGGTATGACCAACTCTGGAGAAAAAGCTTTTAAACTTTGACCATTCATGTCTCTTCCTTCTAATGTTCCATGGCCCATGCTTGGCTTGGAATCGTTTTGTTTTACAGAATCAACACTGGTTCCTTTTTGAAGAATTCCAGGTAGTGACACCTAGTGGCATAGTTTTGTGGACCATGGATTGATTGTCACTTAATCCCACCGAGCCATTTTGTGAACTGTCTTTATTATATTTAAATAATTCCTGTTATTTCAACAACACTCTAAACAGCTAAGTTTGAGGTCATCATTTTTAAGCTGACAAAAAGAAACAGGATTAAGTTCCTACAGGAGACTAAAGATCATCTAGTACTTTATTTTTTCTAGTCATGCCTTCAAAATAATAAGCTGAAAAATGCAAAGAAATATTATTAGAATTTAAAGGAAACCAAACATCTGTTGTGTTGAGAGAATTTACATTAAAACAAAAGGGGAAATGCTGTGGTTGCACTGAGAGGGGAAATGCTTTCTGATTTGAATTCTAGTAAAACATGTCTAGCTCAGTCTGTAGTGAGAAATTAGAAAGCAAGAAAGGAAACAGATCCAGAAACTTCTAAATGTTTGTTCCCCAACCAGTTCTACCTGGCACACACATGCTACTCCTCATTTTGTGGGGAGAAATAAAGAGGCTTGATAAGGAACCGTGTTTGGTCCAGCTTGGTCCATATGTCTGTTTTCACAAATTACAAGCACAGGTGCAGAGATGGTCTGTGCGGAAAATATACAGATCAGTTTTATTAGTAAAACGCAGTTTGGCATGTGTATGAGTTTGCTGAGGCTGCCACAACAAAGGGTCACAAACTGGGTGGCTTAAAATAACAGAATCTATTCTCTCTCAGTTTGGGAGGCCAGAAGTCCTAAATCAAGCTGTCAGCAGGGCCATGCTCCCTCCAAAGGCCCTAGGGAAGACTCCTTCCATGGCTCTTCCAGCTCCTCGTAGTTGCCTGCAATCCCTGGGGTTCCTTGGCTTATAGATGCATCCCTCCAGTCTCAGACCCCGACTTCACATGGCATTTTTCTCTGGCTGGGTGTGACTCTGTGTCTTTACACAGCTTCTTAAAAAAAAACACACCAGTCATTGAATTTAGGGCCTGCCCTAATCCAGTATGACCCTATCTTAATTACATCTTCAAAGACCCTATTTCCAAATAAGGTCAGATTCTGAGGCTCCAGGCAGAAATGAATTCTGAGGGGAGAGGTTTC